CTCATATAACTTGAATAATATCTACATTTATTCATTTACTTATTTATTTGTTGAGTTTAACATCATGTGAGATATCAAACACATTTATCTTTTTTTATTCATGTTCATGTTGCTTTATGTGGACTCTCACCCCTGCTCAAGTTCTGTGCAGTTAATCAAGGCACTATTTCAGAATACTTTGAAAGCTGCTGATTCAGGTGTAATTTCAGTACAAAGGTGTCTGAAGACTGCTATGAAATTGGTAATTCTTAATGTATTAAAGTATTTGAACAGAACACTCCTTCAGCTGCTGAAGATCTGGTAAAAAGTCAGCTTTGAGAGAGGATCTGGCTAAATTTAAATATTCCTTTGCTAGAGTATTTCTCCAGTGGGGATAATGTGATCTTTGCTATTCAGTGTGCTCTTCTTTTTACATATCACTTTTCAGATCCATAGAAAATAATAATCTATGTTATAATCCTTTATTATCATTATTATTATTATTATTATTATTATTATTATTATTATTATTATTATGGAACAGAAAAGGCCAGGCTGTGATTATCTTTGATTTAGGATAATGACAGCAAGAACTTCAAAGTACCTTTGCATAGTTTTTACAGGCTCCATCTTTACCATCCTTTTATTTGATTGAAACTGTTTTCTTGGGGAAGGTAATTGTAAAAGGCTGAGACATGAGCCTTCACTCAGGCTTTAGTCATCCATAGTTTTTGTTCCAGTATTGCTTCCAGATCCCCAGCCCCAAATCCTGAATGTCAGGATGACACTCAGGCATAAATGTTCCCCATTTTTTACCCTTGTTTGCAGTGGGCACCTGAGTGCACAACACCTGGGGCAACTGCAAGGTGTTCATTTCATTCCATGAATAGAAGAACAAATAGGATAGGATGCAAGTTCATCTCAAAGCACGCCTGCCCTAAAACATAGACAGAATTACCTATTCATCAGCAGAACACAGGTTGGGGCTTGGGCCTGTGCCTTAAAATCACTATATTGCATTAAAAGGTTTAGAGCCAATAATAAAGGTATTAATTACATCATCAAATTTTATAGCCATTCCTAAAACCTTTATCCTCTCTGGCATCTAATGAGAGAGTGCCTGCTGTTTGGGGCTGTGATTAGCTCACAAAAAGGAGAGATTAAGACCTTAGCCATTACTGAGCAGATGGATCATTACACAGGATCTTAAGCCAAGAAATAAATATTTTAAGTAAGTCACATTTGGAAGATACAAAATATTTAATAAAGCTTTAAATACCTGGAGATTAACCAGGATCTAGCTTTATGATGTGACAAGAGACATACCAGAAGATGGAATGAAGAATGTATAAGACTTTCACATTTCTCTGGTTAACAAAACTCACTCAGTCACCATGGCTGTTACTTCTCAAGAGCTTGTAGCCATAGGAATCCTATGCATGAATATCCATGTTAGGGAACTGCAGTCAGGTGACTCATATACCTATTGCTGTTTATCTAGTGTTATTCCTTCTGTTTTCTGCATTTATTGGTGTAGCGGTTGTTGGTATTTTTTGTACAGAAATAATGAGAACTGTGGGTTTTTTTTTTGCTTGTATTTCTCAGTTTGGATACAAAGAAGCTGTAGATGTTGATTAAGCATTTTACAGACAGAAAAATGATGGGCTTAGTCTGAATAACTAGCTCATTACTTCACTAGCAAATCATATATATTTAAATCTAAATTGTTAGGAAAATACCAAGTAAATTTTTTACACTGCCTGTGATCTATAGTTTGATATTTGCCTGTCTTTACACAGTCAGTTTGTTTGTCCCAGAACGACTTCATGAAGTGGTTCACACTTTGACGTGACATCAAAGACAGCACTGTTAGAATAAAAATAAAAACTGAGCATCTCCGAAAACGTGCTTCACTCACAATCTTTGTTATGAGAGAGACATCACCATTTGGAAAAAAAGAGCGAATATAGAGCCATTTAGCGAGAAGGCTGAATTGAGGAGAACTATGATCTATCTCAGTAGGTGGTTTTGTATGATGAAAATGAGTTATCTCTGGAAAGAAATATTAAAATGACTATAAGTACTGTGCTATTAAGATAGGGCATTTTTGTACAGTTCCATTGATTTCTACAGATAATGTCTGCATCTTCCCTGTGAACTCTGCCTAGAATCTCAGAGTAGAAGTGCATAAATTCTCCCTCTGCTTGTAAGATTTTCTAGACTATCTATACTCCTATGATATCTGTGCAAATTCATGATTATTATCTCTGCCAAAAGGGATTCAATAACTGACAAATAAATCCATGCCATCTCAGTTAGACACTATTCCTGAGCCTGGTTGAGTCAGAGAGCAAAGAATCCTGAAAATCCCAGGGCATTATCCGTAAATAAATCACAGATTATAGTAGTATATACAGATGTGGAGACTACCTTCTCTCTAACAGTGTAGACATGAGCAAAATCGGATTGTGGCTTACACGTTAGGCTTCAGTGTTACAAGTTCAGCCTACAAGTCTTTTCTTCTTTCACAAACATTGCACATTTATGTGTTCTCCCTTCCTGCTTTCACTGTTCTTTTTTTCCAGACAAACTTGTTATTTCTTTTCTAATGTTCCAGCCACTATTTTCCTTATTTTTCTTCTACATTCTGTAGTGGTCTTTTCTCATAGTCTTTGGCAATTCTTTTGAGAAACGTATACAAAGCCATTCTTTTTCTCCAGAGGATCATCTTCCCCACCTGTCTAAAACGGTGAATCACATACAAATTGCTCAGATGCGTCACTTTCTAGAACAATAAATCACATACAAATTGCTCAGATGTGTCACTTTTTTATTGCTCAAGAAATAATCAGGTTTGTCATATTCAAAAGTGCTATTTTTGTGCATCAGATAGAAATCACACAGCATTAGATATGACTTCTGAAACCTCCTAAAAGTATAATGCCCAAACAGATATAGCTGCTATTGCTTAGATAATGGAAATTTGTTTGTATGGTGTGAACTTGGTCTACTCTTTATACATTATTTGTAATATTCATCACTGATGATCAATATATAAATAATAGACGAGGGAATAACATATATTGTTGAAATTGTCTCATCATTACATATATGAAAGCAATGCACAAATCTCGTGATTTTTTAAATAGGTATACTAAGGTTTTTAGTCCTTGCTACAGTTCCTACTGTGGTTGTTTTTCTAGCACTAGCCAAGTTTTACATGCTTTGGAGAAATTCTGTGGATAAAGCTTTCTTCATATTGCCTGAAGATATTTTCTTACTGGTGGCTTAAGATTTTAAATAGGGAAGAAAAGTTTAAAATGTCAAGACTGAGCAACAGAAGTATTGCAAGCTGCAGCTTGGCTGACGCCCATATAGGAAAATCTTGACAGTTTAAAAATAGAAACTTGTTCCATCCGTAGATTAACTTTATATCTAATCCATGTTCTGGCACATGGCACCCTACCTACATGCGCAAACTGCATACTGACTAGGACGGAGATATGGATTTACATTGAACTACTTAATTCCCATCAATTTTTAGAGTTTTAAACTGAAACAAATCTGCAAGAAATGTGTGAACATCTTTCAGACAGATTACACCAGCCAGCTGTGGGCATACTAATATTTATGGAGATACACATGTATTGAACTCAAAGTGATGTCTCGGTCCAGCCATCAGTGCAGACTGGTTAATCAACTCCCTGGAATTATCCTTGCTGACTTCTAAATGTAGTGTATTATGCTTCATTTGATCTTACTGAGCCACTTCTTAAGTCTATATTCAGTGCTGTGGATTTATACACCCAGTTTATCTCTAAAATTACTAACATATCTATCATTCACAAAAGACAACCTCATACTTTTGTGAGTCTGAAACGTGCTTCTCATGTATATGTACTTTTAATATTAAAATTTACATACAAATTATAAAACTTGCAATATCTTTTAATATGTTGGATTAGATCATGAGGAGATAGATTCTTCAGAGGCATTGTCTGTTGAATCAGGTTAAGGCAAATGAAACATTGCACTCTTGTACAAACTCCAATCCAGTCCTGCTCTTCTATGCAAGCTGCAGTTGAAATCCAATCACTAACATTGTATTTAAGATGAAATTGCCTTCTAGTAATTTTGCTGTTAGGATTTTATTATGGTTAAATAGATTAAGAGTTAGGTGAAACCACTACTGTGGTTGGTTTGTGTTATTTTTTGTTGTTTGTTTGTTTGTTTTGTTTTGTTTTTTAATTACAACTATCCACAGATCAGCACTTTGGCATTGGCCACATACAGCTGGGGAAGAGGGAAAGAGGTATGTAAAAAAGGTGGCAACATTTGCTTTCCTCATTCCAAAACAATCACACCATAACTGAATCATTACTTCAAGACAGAATAACCTGAAGCTGTCATAGAAAACATTTAGCAGGAGCATCCTTGGAAATTAAGGAGTCAACCAAATATTAGTAGTTGTAAGCCTGATTTCTTCTGTCTTGGTCATCTTCTAGGTGAGAGCTTTAAGATGGAAAGAAATACAGAGCAGTGTGCTATTCAAGGAAGTCAAGGGTTTGCCAGTAGAGGTTGCCTTAAACTTAAAATGATTTATGCCAGCTGGGGTGATGCTAAACTTCTGCAGCACTTATGAGAGGCCAGACTGCAGCCTGAAGTAGAATCAACAGTCTAAAACTACAACAGATAACAATCGTTTTGAAGACATTAAATACAAATTCATTTCTCCCTGAGGGTTTTTCCAAGAGTTTTACATCGTTGCTCTTATAGTCTTGTTTGTTTTTAAAAAAGATACAGTATATCTTATTATTTGTTGAATGGAATACATACATACAAAAGCTGAGTGATTACAAACAACAGCTAAAAGTGATGACACTGACTTTGCAAACAAATGTAAGATATAAGAGGTGAACTATTAACCTTACAAATAGACAGTTTCTAGCTTCATTTTCATCGTGTTGTGTAAGAAATCCTAGAAATTATAGCAAAATAAATTCAGGATCTAATTTTCCTTTTCAAAAATCATCTAGAACAGGGTAAATGAAGTTGTCTTTAAATAAACAATATGCCAAAATCTGTCCTCCACAAATCATTGAAATTACTCCAGATCCTGAAAGAAAATACAAAGCCATTTAGTATTAATTTGTATAGTGGAATGCAAACATTGTAATAATTGTAATAAAACATGAGGTAACCCTTCTTTTTGACTTTTTTTTTTTTTTTTAAACTCCCTGCTCACTTAAACACTTTGCCAAAAATTTAATCACCAACAAAGAGATCAGTTCCAGCAATTTATAATACAAAGCCAGCAGCAGTACATGGAGTTTATTCGCCTGTCTCTGTCTGTTAGGAATTACTACAGCTGTTGATCCTTGTTATCCATCATAAAAGAAGGAAGAACAGATGTCAGTACTTTCTCTCTTAGTTATTTTTCATGATAATATATACTAGCTTAGGACTATTCTTCAAATTTTGAAAAATAATTAAACATTTCAAAATACAGGCTTGCCATTCTCTGTATGGAAATATGATGACTGAGAATCTATCTCAATCTATCATAGATACCTGCTCATAGAATCAGAGAATCAGAGAATCACAAAATCACAGAATCATAGAATCACAGAATGGCCAGAGTTGGAATGGACCTTAAGGATCATGAATCTCCAACACCCTGCCACATGCAGGGCCACCAACCTCCCCATTTAATACTAGACCAGGCTGCCCAGGTCCTCATCCATGTTCTGGACTTGAACACCTCCAGGGATGGGGCATCCACAACCTCTCTGGGCAGCCTGTTCCTGCAACTCACCACTCTCTCTGTGAAGAACTTCTCCCTGATATCCAACCTAAATCTTCCCTCTCTCAACTTAAAGCCATTTCCCCTCATCCTACCACTATCACATTGTTCATTAAAATGATTTTTGAACTGTATTTCATTCCACTGATTGTAAAGACTACCAAGGAAGGCTAGCTTGGAAAACTGTCTGTTTGACACCTGAATTAGATGAGGTAGATAATTTGATTAGTCAGGACTCAGCATGACTCATTTCAGCAACATGAACATATCTGCTGTTTGTTAGGAAGATTATCATAAGCTAAATACATTCTGGTCTTAAAATAGTTGTTAGTCCAGTGTTACTTGTCCGTGTTCTTACAAGAAATGTAAATGAAAAACATACGTATCTTCCTTAAATACTGTCAATTCCCAAATTATTGAGACTACAATAGAAAAAAACTCATACTGTAAATGCTATTCTTCTAGATTCTAACAATTTAATATCTAAAGGTTATTATACCTAATGCCAGCCACCAGTGTAACATCAGAGGAAATTCAGACATAACTGGAGGGAGAAGAAAAAGAGAAATGTACATTTGTAAACAATAAAAATAAGGATATGCAAATCTTACATTATTAAATAGAATGTCTGCTTTTCTAAATTATATGCATTAGATTCATTGAAATTGCAAACTGCTATCAAGATCCTCATCATTCAGATACTTGATCATACCGTTATGCTCAGTGGGTGAGCAATCCCTTGGAGGTCAAATCTTAAACAGTACAAGTGTGTGCTAAGCAGAGGTTTGTAATTGTAAAATCTCTGAAAAGGGAATTCATTTATTATTACATATCCGTATGAGGTTTGGCATAACAGAAACACCACTCACCTGGTAGGAAGTCGATACACTCCTGCAATCCAAATAATTTCAGCTGCCTGACAATTTCAATTTGATGGGTGATAACAGCACGTGAAAGACAGAGCTGTACCCTGCAAGTGATCCCTATTACCTGACTTGCTCTGCCATGTGTCTTGTAGCCACCTCTGCTTCACATGAGCTGCCCCACGTCCCCATCTCATGACCGAAATGAACCAGTACAGCCCTATTAGGGCTGGCAGGACTGTGGAGCAGTGAAGATAACTGGAAGGCATGCGTGTTCTACAGTGTGAGTTCAGCAGCACAGCTTGGGTTGCTCATCTGAAAGCATCAAGAGCAGCTCTGCGTTGTTTGGAGATCAAAGTGTGCCATGTGATATAACGATAGAAGATACTACTGCATAAGCTATACAGAAAGCATATTTTGTTGTAGTTTTTGTAAGTTTACTGATTTAAATACAAACAATAATAATATCCATGAGGAATAACAGCAACTTAAATTCCATGAAATTAAATTTAGTAAATGAAAAACGATGCTTAATTTTTTTACATTCAACTCTCTATTAGTTTCTGGAATACCTTGGCGTGGGTATGTGGGAATCTCTGTATAAAGTGGTAAAGAATAAATGGATAATGCACTGGAAAATGAAAGATCAAGTATTTTGTACTAGAGACGGAGTTCTAACTAGTCAGTGATGGTTTTTTCCTAATCCTAATTCTAGAATAAAAGTGTTAACTTCATCTTTATAGAAGAAAAAATGTCCATGTGGGCTCTGCCATCTAGGTGTTATCCCTTCATTCCTTCCAGAAGAGGAGAAGAGTTTCAGAGAAAACAAACAAACGAACATATAACAATTCAGTGGTAAAATACATTATTTTCTTCAATGAGGTTTTAGTTCAAATGTTTTAACTTAGTATGCTGAAATAAACTCCATTTTTGTTCTGAACTAATGTTGAAGTGTTAATGAGCAATAAACAGCTACACATTTCTTGTTTTACAGAACACAACCCCAGAAGTTGTCTCTAGGATGAATATTTCACATAACCTCAACAAAGACAGAATTGAGGTGTAGAGGTAAAAATTTAAATACACGCATAAGTCAAATGGATGGAAAGCAGAGGTGCATTTATTCAGCTCCAAGGAAGAATGATAACCCATAGCACAGTGGGTGAGCCATGGTCACTTCTTTATGTGATACTATACATATATTTAGCAGTAAGCATACTTACCAATGGAAGTTATGATGATATGAATAACAGTAACTGTTACAGCATAATCCCAAACCCATTCTTCCACCACCAGGGCAAACAGCAGACCACAAATGAAAAAAGTTATTTCCAATGAGATAACAAGAACTGAAAAGGAAAATAGAATATTTACTCCAAGCATAGTTTTGAAAGTCTTTTCCTCTGATGCCAAGGTAATAGCAATAGGAAGTTAAAATGTCTGAGACAAGGTTATGCAAATTATGTTTGATTAGGTCAAATATTAATCTAGTGCTTTGATTATAAGGTTTATTTCTAATTTTACCACAGACACTGCATGGGTTCTATACTGATTTACCCGTAGACTTACAAAATGTTCTCTCTTTTAAAAAAAAATGTAGGGATGAGCAGGAAGAGGACCAGTGCTCTAAGTATTGCCTTGAGAAGAAATAGTGTGGAAATGTCAGAGAGACAATCTATCCAGGGTCTTTGCACATGGTACTAAATAGACTTGGTTGATACAGATGTAGGTCAACTCTTTCTTTTCCAAAACTGAGCAGTATGGCCAAGGTTTTACGTCCAGTAGGAAACTCCATAGCTTTCTTCCTGTTCTCTGCTTCACATCATGTATGTGTAGCAGTGCAACTTAAAGACACATAAGGGGAAATAGAGCAGAATGCCATCTCTATGAGCTGAACACAGGCCATCCCTATTGATCTCATGATTCCACATCACACTGGGCTAGCAGGAGTTGACTGGGAAATGCCTGCTGGTCCTCCAGCAATACCCTGGGTGTAACAAGCAATAACAGCACACTAGTAACTCATATAATTTTCAATCTGAGGTATTTTTCTTCTTCTTTTTAAAGCACCTAGATATATTGAAATAATATTTTAACAGATTTTTTTTTTTTTTTTTTTTTTTACCATTGCAGTAATGTAATACCTAACATTACTGTAGCTCAGAGAGAACACTATTATTTTTTCACTGTGTTTAATTTATACATCTGGCAGCATTTTGTGACTCAGTTTTATTCCATTCTTTAGACAGTCAATTATTTCCTACTGTACTCTGGATCTTTCACCCAGCAGTTAGAAGAAATATAAGAACACAAAAGAAAAAAAAATAAACAACTATAAAACCACACGTGGTTAAGAAAACAGAAAATACACTTCAGAAAAAAAGTAATGTTTGACAATGCATTTTATTTCCTATTAAAATTAATTTTAATAGTATCTACTTATTTTTTTCCAATAATTTTATAACTTCAAAAGTATGCTCAATGTAAGCAGTTGTGCTGTAAGTTTTCCATTAAACTGGGCCAACAACTATAGCTCTGATCCGAGCTGAAACTTATATTTTTATTTCCAGGCTATTTTTTAAAGATATCATTCTACTTTTAGCAGGTGTGAGTGAGACTCTTGAACAAACTAATTCTCATTTGCAATGCCATTCAGAAAGCTCAGCTGTGTCTCTGTCTCCATAGCCTTTAAAGAGACCTGGTTAGGTTTTGCTGCTCCATGTTACTGCATAAGTTGGATGGAAGGCAAGACTGAATTCTAACCAGTTGCATGACACAGAGGTTATCTTTGGCACCTTATAAGCATCCTGCATCAAACTGTCTGATATAATCTTGGAGCAAAAAAGTCATGTTGAGATACAGTAATTACATCAGGGCCCTGAAAAGTAGTTCTAATGGAATATGATTAAATTTTCTTTTCCATTGCTGCAAATGGAATGTTCTTCTTTTTTCATCTGAAACCCAGATTGACACTTTACAAATATTCATGCATTTTTATCATTCTTTTTAACATGATCAATTTTCTTTTGAGCAGTTCTGATTAGCAGTTCTAATTATAGGGGATGTGGTTTTCCTTTGCAAAATAGAATGCAAGTCTAGTAAAAATTTCATGTATGCATGTAATTTTTGAAATGATAGTTTAGGAACATGAATATATTTTGAAGACTTCAGACGAAGCTGCAGGAATTTGTGTTAGGATGTGTAAAGGTCTGTTTAGGAGCTGAATTACAATAAAAATCTGAAATTTCAATATCCACTATATTCAGGCATTATCAAAGCAAAATTTCCATGAGTTGGCTGTGACCTATTCTTCAGCTTCTGAGTACATGACAGTTCATAAGAAATATGTTGTGCTGTGGAAGTTAAATTTAATAAATATTTGCAGGGACTTTTCAGAAAAGAGGTCATTATTATCTCATGAAAATGCAGCATCCTGATACAGTAATACGTTGTCTTCAAATGATCAAAATCAGAACACCTCAAGGAAATGTTTAGAAATCATCTGATTAATTAATAGCAATATATAAATGAAAAGTGAAGCAAAGATGAATAAAGATTTAAATGCAGTGTAGTTAAAATACTGGAAATATTACCATTGCTAAAAAAGCTCTAAAATATTGTCCATAAGGAAGACAAGTTTACATCCAAATATGATCTAATTTCTTGACTGACAGAAAACATAAAAACAAACTTAACTTACCTAAATAATGTGGATTAAGCCATGATGGATTTGTCTTAAAATCAAAAGGTGCCAAACCATCCAACATTTTAACCCTGTGGAAATAGAATAAATACATTTAACCATAACTTTAATTTTCAATAAAAAATTAAAGACTACATGATAAATTACTGGTCCTTTTAAGATAAGATTTCAAATGGAATATTCTGGATTTTACAGGCTTTCTACATTTCATTCATGTTTTGATCTTGCCCTCGCACACAGTTTCTGTGATCTCCACTTCTATGTAAGGTACGTCTGACTCTATACATGTTAATCAATAGTTTCCTAAGGGAAGATGATTTCTCTTTCATATTGACTATAACATCTTTCCTTTTTAATTTTTTATGTAATTGTTCTCTTATGTTCATTTACTTACAGGATGCAAGTGCAAGGAAGTATATCACAGCCAGCATTTTATATTGCTTTTGAGTATCCATTTATTAATATATGAAAGCACTGGTCACAACAACTTAATGAAGGCTTGGTTACAACAACTTATCTGAATTTGGAAAACATATTCGTGAATGCCTCCAATCTGAATGCCTCTTGTCCATAGTCACTGCTCTACCTGCTATATCCTGTATATCCAGCTGTAGCACGTGGTCATAGTAAAGGCAAGGATGTCTTACTTGAATATGGCAAAGCAAACGGAAAGGACCACGTAGTACACAGTGTAGAAAACTGCCATGCATATCAACAGGTTCACCAGCACAACCTGTGAAAGAGAAAAAGACAATCTAATGCTGTGTTTACAGTACGTATATAATTGTCAAAAATAAATTCAGATTTCTGTCAAGCATAATATTTCAGAAAATATAATATTTAGCCAGAAGTTTTTGCTGTTGCTGATTACAAAAGTGTTGTTAAAAGCTTTTTAGTACATTTCAGCTCCTGATGTTATAATTCATGGTTCTTTGTTTTGATGTGTATCTACTACTTAGGTATTGAATTTATTCAGAGAATGAGAAGTGTATTTATTGACAGTTACTACACTGGTGACCCCTTTAAAACCATTCAGATACATAACTAGCTTAATTTTTAACTTAAAAGAGATGCTACCATGGTAATTATGTTGAAACTGTATAGAAATAAAATGAAGAAAATTGCAAGGAGTAACTAATAAGTTTTCCAGCCTCTAGAAGATATGTCACCCCAGTATTTATTTCCAAAGCTATGGATGTAGACAACTTAAGTGAGTAATAAGAGATATCTGTTAAAAACTTTTTAAAGATCAAGTGCTTGTTTATTTAAAATAAATAAATTCAAACCTCAAATTAATAACAAACTAACTAAGAGCAACAATAACAGCAACAAAAAAAAAGCATATGTGTTTTAGAAAGTAACCGCTATTTTATGATCCAGCACTAGGTCTTTAAGAGAAGAGAAACACTTAGTCTTCACTACTCATCTGAAGTTTCAGAAGTAACACAACCAGAGAAAAAACTGAACCTTACCCTGATCCCGTTCATAAAATGCCTTCAGATCTTTTCTTTTCAAATGAAGCATTATTTGCAACTCTGCTCAGCTAAGTTGGCTTCCTGAATTATCCAGACCCTAGGACTTATATTAATTTATACAGCTATAGGGTAAAATTATGTTTTAAACGTTAATATACTTCAGTAACAAAAAATAGATTCCTGCAAATGCAGAACACATTTTTGTTTATCTGGGATGATACTACGATATTCTAGCATTTTACTTGGACAACCAGGACTGGGGATTGCTGTGCATCACATTTGATTAACTGCTCTGGCAATATTGTGTGCTTACCTGAGAACGTGAAACTGAAGATGCTTTCTACAGTCCGTTAGAGTAGTAACTAAAATCAGTTTGGCTTGCATTTTCTCAGTTTAGCTGGGGCTTTATTGCATCATATTTCTCTTTCTTCTAACTAACTAAAGCACTGGAACAAGTTGTCCAGAGAACTGGTGGATGCCCCATCTCTGGAGACATTCAAGGGTCTTCCTCTTCCATATGTGTTCCACCTTTCCCCTACTGTAGCTTTTTTCCCCCATTTTTTATCTGAATATTCTTAAGCTTAGATTTCACTTCACATACTTTTCTTTCCTTCATGCTGCTACTATTTGAAGTGTGCCCTGTTTCATTTATATTTTTAATGATCCTTTATGTTCTGACTTTAACTGGGCACTCTTACGAAATTCAAAGATGTTATGAAAACCTGATACCTTGTGCCACAATGGAAGTCTTTTCTTAGTAATTATTTCACATTTTCATATTCCTGAGGTCCAGCAAAACTTAATACGTAGTAATAAGTCCTCTTTCACTGTACATTGGTGTTTTTTCTTCAGACATAGACAACAGTTGTTTAATTTCTCTTTGTATTTATCTTGTTCTTCAATGAAAGATTGAACATGAACACTATTAACAGCAACATCTTCACTGCAAAAAACTTTACAGATGGCCCATAATAAGGGCCATCATGATCATTCTGATCCCTTACCTACCTATTCTGGTGCCTTTAGTTACCAATAACTACTTAGGAGAAGCTAAATCCATTTCAGCTTTTACTGTATCTCCTCCACTTAACTTCAAAGTAAAAGCTGAGTGGCAAAAAATGCATTCTTAATAATGCATTAGAGTGGTTTGTATAACATTTACTCAACGTATCTATACCTTGTGCATGATAACTCATCCTACCTTAAAGAATTCAAACTTCTGCTTTCAAGAAAACATCCATATCCGTCTTGCTGTAAATTCCATGAAAGGAAGGGAGAGGAAATCTAAGCATGGAGTGAAGTGCCTTTCCTATGAAGACAGATTAAAGGAACTGGGTTTGTTTGGCCTGGAAAAGAGAAGTCTGCAGGGAGACCTCATTATGGCTTCCCAATATTTAAAGGTAGTTTATAAACACAAGGGAAATCATCTTTTTGAATGGGTAGATAGAGATGGGTTAAGGGGGAATCGTTTTAAACTAAAGGAGGGGAGAATTAGATGTCAGGGAGACATTCTTCACTGAGAGAGAGGTGAGGTGCTATAACTTGTTGCCCAGAATAGTTGTGCCCCATTCCTGGAAGTGTTTAAGGTCAGTCTGGATGGGGCCTTGGTCAATCTGATCTAGTACTTGATCTAGTGACGGGCAATCCTGTCTGTGATGGGGAAGTTGGAATTTGATGATGCTTGAGGTCCCCTCCACCCCAAGCCATTCTATGATTCTATGATTCATGGCCGTGCTTTTCCCTGTCTAATTATTTTTACTTTCATAGAATCACAGAATCACAGGGTTTCGAAGGGTCCTCAAGAGATCACTGAGTCCAACCCCATGCTAAAGCAGGTACCCTACAATAGGTTGCACAGGTAGGCATCCAGACAGATAGTAGAAGTATAAGGACATGGGAAGTACAAGTATGCAGTACTGAAGGATCCAGCAGCACATGTTTTGAAGTCTATTGAGTCAAAGGTTGTATCTGTGTCATCTTAATCAGGTTTCCTTCCATTATTTTTTCCAACTGTCTTTGTCTAGAATATCTAATGAAAAAACGTACCACAATTTAATTCTGAGTGTTTCAGAGAGGACCTTAAACCTACTGAATAGTAATCTGAATAACTAGTTTGTGAAATATCCTCTACTTCTTATGCCATCCAAAACAGTGACTGTTTTGTTCCTTTCTTACGTTTTCCTCTGTTATTCCTGATTGTTTCTAACTCTGCATGGTCCTATGTGTCAGACACCTAAGATGACACTTTCTCACCTAAGTCCCTCTAGATATGAAATCTATACTTTATCAGTGTCTGCTATTTTTTAAATCTTATTTTTTAAATAAAACACAATTCTGAGTGAAGATTTCAATTTAAAAAAAATAAAAAACAAAAACACAATGCAAGCCAGTTCTGAAATGTAATTTTCATTTATATTTAATTTGGTAAAAGCTGCTGAAAAATCAGTCCTTATTCAAGGAGGCAGTGTCTCTGAAAAGAGCTACAGATGAACATTAGCTCAAATTAATTCAGTTTTAGGAGCTTCCCTTACCATTGTGTGACACAAAACAAGCCCTTAAGGCTTTATGTTTTAAGGTGGGAGAATATGAAGATAAGTGAGGAAGAAGTATTACCTCTGAGCATGGGATTAGGGAACATAAAGCAGCATCCAATTTAGCATCAGCAATTTTTTAAGTATGTTAAGAAATGAAGAAGGTGCAGAGAAGAGCCATAAAGGAGAGCTGATGGCTAGAAATGCTTTTTTCATTAGGACTACAACTCTAAAGAGGTCAATCTGTTTAGCTCTGAGGGCTGATTTGATTATGATGGATAAGTACCTTTGCAGGCAGAAAATACCAGGTACTTAGGGGCTCTTTAATCTATCAGAAAAGCCATATGAAGTAAACAGCTGCAAGTTATAGCTAGACAAATGGCAAAGATACATTAAAGACATTTTTAACTGTAAAGGCAATTAGTTAATGGAACAAACTGCCTTTGGAAATAATGGATTATTTATAGAAAAACCAGGTGCCTTTCTGGATGAAGCTTCACTTGGATATCCCCAGTGTTTACTTCTGGCCACGTGATAAATAATATACTTATAGAACTGTCTGATACTGATGGAAGTGTGGACCATTTTGCAAACAGTTTATATTATTTTTATGTTGCTAGATATGGAAAGTGAAAGTACATCACTGTATCTATGCCCCAAAATTATGGGAACAGTAGGCAAGAAACCCATTGTACCTGTACAAACCAGTATTTGTCAATATGTAAATGTCCAGGAAAGTTTCTACTTTTATATTGCTATTATTTCACTAAAGCAAAATAAAAATGGAGAATGATTAGTGTCTTGTCAGCTCGTTTTCTTGAGGGGAAATTATAGCTTTCCCATGTCCTGTATCTTTACTATTATTCCAAATGGCAATTGGCTAAATAATTTATGTGATCTTTTCTTTTCATTGATGAACTCCATGGCCACTGCAGTGTTCACTGACTACAGTGTTACCTGCAAGTAACATGCTGCCCCTTCTGCCCTGAAAGTATCTCTAAATATTAGCAGATGAATCTATGGCACATTTTGGGTGAGAATCACTTTCATTTTATTTCTCTGAGCAGATGCATGTTTCCTGGAATTCTCCTTTATCTGCCTCCTGTAAGCCTTATCTGCTCCAGATGCAGATTTGTACTGTAATAAAAGTGGTAGAACAGGACTGAAGTGAAAATAACAAGGCTGAAGAAAGACTGTGAGCTGATGGCCTATTGACCTCTAATTACAGTAGGTAAATTCCTGGCCTCTCTTGAAGTCAGTGACAAACTTGTTTTGGCTTCAAAGGCCTGGGATTTTTCTCTCTGTACCCAGAATATTAGTCCCTGTCTAAGTGACACAGTGAAGTATTAGAGTGCTTTGCCCAGTCAAGGAAGCTAAAGAAAGACATGCAGCTCAGTGCTAAGAATATGATCCAAAGTGAATAACATGAAAATTGAAACCCTTTGAAAAATTTCCAGTTGTATCGCATTCCATTTTTTTAACCTTTCCACTGAAAATTATATATATTTTTTGAATATCAATATATATATTTTTTCAAACTTATTTTTTTTTCCCTTTCTAAACCCTCAAATATTTCAAAGAGAGAAATACAAATTAAGAACTACAGAGTCATTTATTATATGCCAAAGGCATTGAAAGAATTTCAGAAATATAGCAGTGTCATTAAACTTCAGATAAAATTCCAAGATTATATTTCATACATGCACCACTCCATATATCTTGAAATCCTTCTAATAAAATATACTTTTCTGTACTTATTACCAGTCCTATTGGATAAGATCTCCTTTGTAGTTTACTTTTTAGAAAAAGAACATTAAGAAGTACTCCATAAGAATGAAAGCAACTGCTTTTTCAAGATCTGCAGGAGCTGACTAACTCTAAATACTACTATTACTCTAAGTACTACAGCACTATACACACTCAATTCCCTTTACCTTGGTTTCAGCAGTTTTGACCTTGAGAGCCATGGACACATGATGAGTGAAAGGAAGTGTTGTTGCAATACTTCTTATGCCAATATCAACAGAAAGAAGCAGCTGTTTTTAACCCCAAAATACATTCTTATAGGTAAGTACAGGACAGAGTGAGGTAAGTTGATTGGATTAAACTGAATTGAGACAGAAGCCATCTGTGAGATAACTCTAAGCTGCTGAAGACCAAACAGAAAATCCTACTCACTGATTTAATGCTGATACATTTGTATCCACAACTGGCAAAAACCTATCTGTGATATGAATTCACCATTTAGAGACAAAATTAGGAATAGTATTTTCTAACTTCTGTTTGATTTCTTCAGACCTCATTTGATCACACTTCATTAAGATTGCCATACCTCCATACTTTCAATTAGTTTTATGATTTTTAACATTAATTACGTTGATCATAGCTGTGGAAGAGTACATTCTTCACCTTGTTAATGTTTTTCTTCTGACTATCACTTTATTACATTACATGTAGTTCACATTAAATTAGGTATAATCAGGTTAAGAAATGATAGACTTGCATTATGACTCTTCTCCTTTTCTTATTTCTTCAGGAAAATGAAATTTACCATGCTTTAGAGAAGCTCCACCTTCAACTGAGCAATTCCTTAATGGATTTGGATTTGACTTTTTGCAGATGCATTATGATTCATTACGCTGTATTGGAAAAAAAAAATTAGATCATATAAAGGAATGCTTCTGAAACTTAATGAACTTTTTCTTTTTTTCTTTTCTTTTCTTTTTTCCTATCACTAACATAATCTGTGCAGGTTTCATTATTGTTAGTGTCTTCCTAATCGAGTAAAATTAATGCTGGTTTAAGATATGGGCTGGTTTAAGATATGGTCTGTACAAAGCAAACAAAAGCTTTTGCTCATGGATTTGATAGTACCAGATTGTGAATACCGTACAGAATGTACAGGTAATATTGTGTGAAATTCTTTTCCTGTCCCAAATGACCTGTGCTTCAGCACAGTACAGTGATGTCAAAGGAATAGAATCAAACAACAACAAAAACCTAAATTAATTTGCATAAATGTTTGCAATGGTGACCACACAAATGGTAGATTGACAAAAAAAAAAAAAAAGTATTGGTTTTAGTAATTAAGAAATGATTGAAAATAAACAAAAGGTTTCATCCAAGGAGCATCACATTTATTCCAAGAAAACAGGGCCTAAAATTTGCACAAATCCTTGCAGTAACTCTAAGTAGCAAGATAACTGAAAAAAGTAATGGATTCCATTGGTCTAAGATCATTATTAAATGTATTCATTCATTTACTCGCTCAGTCAGTCTAATCAAAATCTGAGGATAGAACCAAAGTCACTGTATTCCATGGGTAGATGGAATTCAATGGAAGCTATAGGCATGGGTTTGCTAACGAGACTGAGAGGTTCCTCTCATTGCTATTGCGAAGTTGAACACTTTAAGAGAGGACAGTATTTCTGTTGCAGACTTGTTTCCAGCCTGGAAACAGCTGGACTGTTGTAACAGTAACAAACAGCAGCAAGTCAAAACTGGGAGTGGCAGAATTGTGTGTAATCCAAAATGCTGACTAAAAGACTTAGTAGCAAATTGGAAAGATATTGTGTTGCTGCTAGCAAAATGTCCAGAGAGTGGAATGGCCTCTTTTTCTTTTCTTTTCTTTTCTTTTCTTTTCTTTTCTTTTCTTTTCTTTTCTTTTCTTTTCTTTTCTTTTCTTTTCTTTTCTTTTTCACTAGGTCAGCTACAGGAAATACAACAATTCCTATTCAGCTCAGGGAGACTAAAGAAAAGTTTTAATACAAGTTAAACTGTCTATTTTGGTTGCAACTAGCCATGTGTTTTAAATACCACTTTCCAAAGCAATGAACTGCAGATTGTTAGTAATAAGGTGAGGAAAAAATAGTGCTAGATTACCTTTTAGCCCCTAGTTTTTGTGCTGTTTTGATTTACAGAAACATCCAGGAAACAGTTGCTTCAACAGCATATCTATGCCTTACCTCACACTTTTGGGAACAGTTAATAAGCTGTTAGTAAGTGTTAATAAGTTAATAAGTGTTATTTGGAATGTGGCTGTACCCATGTACTTTATTCCTATTGAGGAAGACTTAACAAATAGTGATGAAAGCATAACTGCAGACAGTTACAGAACAGATAATAAGTTCAGACATGAAAGTGAAATTGAAGATACATCTGTAGGCCATTATCTCTTTAAAGTGATGCATAATGGCATGATACCTACTTCCTATCTGTTACCTGGGGCAAAACAAAAAGCTATTTTGTAATAATGAAAAGAAAAATTGTAAAATCTTAGTGCTTGGTTTGCTTTTAAGCTTATTATTTACATTTTAAATAGAACGCTCTGATTTAAGCCCACAGTTTATAATGCTCTCTAATGGCACTGCAAAAATAACAAACATCATTTGAGGAGGTGTATCATATGGGAATATAACAAAAATATCTATCATGGAAATTAACAGGTGATTTGTGTTGCTGATATGCTGACTATGGACCCCACACTATGCCTTCCAATACAAAGTCAGACCCAGGACCATATTTTTTAGCTAACTCCAAAAAACGCGGGATCTTAGAATCAGGAAAATGGCTGAAATCTGAAGAATGTTGATTCATTATCCTGGAATACTTAAGGAAAATACAAAGATCAACCAAGTGGATGATATCTACGCTATGTGTAGAGAAAGTCTTAATTCTCTGGAGGGTGATGACATCAAAACATGTGTACTCTGTCTCCATCTGCTGATGGGAGGAACAATACTTAAATTGTGTGCAATAAAGAAGAGCTCAGAAAAAAAAAAAAAAAAAGAAAAAAAAAGTGGCTACTATTTTAAAAAAAATTACACTAAGAATATGTAAAGAGAGAAATGCACATTTTAAAATAAACATAATTTATTGATTTCCACTGTACTATGACTTTAGCAAATATAACCTTGTTGTATCCTATGAAAGACCGTGAATAAGTTGGTGTTGATCAGATGTGCATCATACAGCCTTACTATGACAGTTTGGCTCCTATCTGGAAGGAGAGAGAATTCTGTGAGGCCTGGAGTCTATCTTCCTCCTTTCCTTGTTTAACTGTTCTGCAGAATGGATAAATTTTGAGAGACTGGAAATTAAAGAATTCAGTAGAAGCAGGAATGCACTTTGGATGATGCAGTCTGTTATTAGTTCCAAATTTTGTCAGATTGCTTTTAACGATATCCCAGCTCCTGAGAATATCATGTAAATGAGCTTTCAGCTCCTGAAAAGCTGTCCCCTTGAACTTCATGTAAAAGCTCGTGAACTCCAAAATGTTCGTAGTATTAAACTAAAAAACTGATGTAACCTTTTTGATGTGCAAACTGCAAATGAATTGGATTCTCTAGGAGATAATTAACCCCAATGAGCTACTTGTATCTACAGAGATGGCTTAATTAACAATAAAAACAGCAAATAACATTTTTTTCTGTTTCATTAACTGACATTGATGGTTTTGTGAACAAGTTCAATACAGAGCTTGAAAGTTCTGGCAAAGGAATCAATTTAATAGGCTTTATTTATTCAAACTATGCATTGGTTTTATTGTTTGTGAACAGTGTGGGATTGACAGAACTGGAAATGAAATCTTCTGTTTATCTAGGGCTCTCACACAATTGTAGCAAAGTAAACTTTCCACTCTGGCCCTACTATATGTTTAAGAAACAAGCTTAATTGCCTGTATTTTAAAAATCAATATTTCTGCCAAGCAGCTTAATGTGCTTGTTACCACAGTTGCAAATTTTTGAACTATTCTTGCATCTCTAGTTTAGTGGGAAAATTTGATGAGTACAGTGAAGCTCTGAAGAATCTTTTCAGGACTTAAGACCATGGAGAAAAGGGGAGAGGGCTGTGAAATTGCTTCTGCTGTTGGTATGTCATGCTGGATCAGGTAGTCTCAGGTGAGGCTCACTTGCGACCAGAAAAACATGCTGACTGGCAAAGTATCTATGGGAGACTGCCTCTTTTTACCCCCTTATCCCTCTACCTTCTCCCATTTGTTCCTACTTGAATCAACATAAACTCCTCTTTTGCCAACTTTGGTACCTCCCCTAAGCATCCTGCAATAAATCCTGTACTATGCTCAAATGATTATCCTCTGCATCCCATAATGTGTCCCACATCCTGAGTAGCAACACTTTTCTTCTAAAAGGTCATCTGGGGGCTGCTCCAGCTGGTCAGTGGTGAGCTTCACAGCTAGATAGTGGGACTGGGGCTCTCCTGAGGTGAGGTGTTTGCTCCTAAGGAAGAGTGGTTTGGGCCTATAGCTGCCATTGTGTCCCTATATTCCCTGGGCCCGAGATGAGCCCTGCATCTCCTGTGAGGGCCTAGAGGCAAGTGGGAGTATCAGAGGATTCAATTGGCCTAGGAAGGAGCCCACAGTAGGATTCTTCAGGCTCCCCCTCCCACACTGTCTCTCTGTCTCCTTCATCGATGGGCCATTGGCACATAGTCTAACAATTACCAAAGTCATTTTGCCAACATTTGGAAAAGCCAAAACAGGACTTAATAGGTGATTTTGGAATGGTTGAACATTTCATGGGTCTCTATTTTATAACTGAGTGTGCTAGCTGGCATGGACACCTCTCCAGCCACCATTTGATTTTACATGCAATCGCATTTCTGTGCCCAAGAATGCTCCTAGCCACGCTCTAATTCACAGGAGTAGCTGTAACTGTGAGGTCTATAAGAAAGGACCTAATAGACTAATTTTTGTTCACGGCAGGTGGTTGTTTATGCAGCACAGCAATGTATTGCACTATTTAACCATCTTCTGGCACTCTGAGGAGAGATACCAAAACCAACTTGACTGGGTGTGCAAACCAAACACTTTCTTCATTTGCAGAAGTATATTTTCTGATTGTAGAAGTTGTGTATGCACTGGCGAGGTAGTAGATAGAAATTTGCACTGCCAATTCAGCAAATGTGCTGAAACACATCTGGGGAATAGCTGGGGAAGATCTACTTG